ACACATTTCTTCATCATTTAATTGACAAAAAGGCTTCGGCCGCCATTTTGAAAATCGCTTAGGTGATTATCGCGTAATAATCACCTCAACGGCAACCAATCAGCGTGGAGAATTTTCAATAATCACCTATGTAATTATACTAATATATTGTTATCACTAATCTTAACCATTAAATTTTTATTTTTGTAATTGCTTACAGTAACAATCGTATATAAAGATTGATGGTAATGACAATTAAGTTTACAACAGCTCATAAGTCCCTTTACTAAGTCGGTCCCTTACTATGTCCCACCAAAACATTACAAGACAAATATTATGTTGTACATTCAAATGAACTAATTCACTCAGTCTAATTGGCTTGCTCAGGGGGCAAATTTATGTTTCAAACTTTAATTTAATTTTAAGTTTCATTGCGACCTACTTTATTATGTTACGTACTGTGTCTAATGCCAAATGATTTAACTTGTCAAGGGGAGAGCACTGGTGCTCAATGGGTTAACAATAATGCCAATCCGACTGCTAATCCTAAGGCTAAACCATGTTTATCCCATTACTGTAAATCCTCATCCTTATGTTAGGATTAGGATTTAATATTCACAGTAATATATAAAACATGCCATATCTCTGTAGATGATTATATGTAATTTGACATTTTCTAGGCTATATACAGTACATGTATTTCAGTATTTGCTGGAAATTATCACATACTTATTAGAGCTGAGCAGTTTCAGAACTTTTTTTATCTTGGTTGCAGTTTTGGGCATTTCGGGATGTGTACAGTAATAACCTCAGTTCGGTTTCGGTATTTTCAAAAAAAAACCAATTCAAACCATTTGCTCAATAAGTTGTAATACACTTCGAAAAAATAATCAACTTATAAATTGTAGTGTGAAAAAAAAATTTCCATTGATTACAGGATAGATTAGAGAAATATTCTGAAATAAAATTATCAAAAAAGAAATGTCTTTGTTTGCATCTTTTCCAAAGGCCAAGTACGGGCTTTTTGGTAATATGGGAATAAAATGTCAAGACATAAAATTCCTTAAAAATTTCGTTTCATTTGTCCTCAGTTTAAGTTATAAGGAAATTTTACTAAACGTGAGAGCAACATGTGGGAACCCAAAACTAGTTTAAACTACCAGTTCTTTTGTGCATGGTAGATGCCGAATTCCGGTGCTAAGAAAAGAACTAGACCAACCAAAAGTTTCGGTTAACTGCACAGCTCTATTACTGAAACGAGTAAAACAAACGACAATTAAGTAATAATTTAGCAAACAATTTAACTATTATGCACTTTTGTTGTTTTTGATAAGAGCTTTGTATGATCAAGACTTTTTGAACAAGTATGCCTGAGCAACTTGGTTGTTTACAGTAGCAGCAAAGAAAACAGGACATACAGCACACACGCCCCATGCAAGACTGTACAAACCAACATTCTTTACAAACCAATTTGAGTAGAAACCGAGAAAGACAATAAGACAGCTTAACATGAATATAAGTGTCCCAGATAATGCATGAAGTTTCTTCATCATGGATAACTTGAGTTTGTTGATAATAGGCAGAGTTGGGTAGAGTAAGCCTGTTCCCATACATGCTTGGAAACACGCCATAAATACAGCAATGCCACCAAGACAACCATGCCACGACACAAAGTGCGGTTTGTTTCGCTGGTTTTTGTTGATGAATATTGCTAGAAAGCCTCCAACAGCACAAAGAGCAGCCAAAACTTGAAGGATCCAGTGGTATTTCACCTTTGTAGCTCGCGGCACAGCTGGGATGAGGGAGCTACTTCTGGAGAAAATCAATATTGCTTCCAGCATGAAGAAACAAAACTAAGAACAGTAAGAAAACATTTTGTTTTAAAATATTGCAGTGCATACTGTTGGAATATAATATATGATATTTTTTTGGAAGTGGTTATTTGTCCATGACCAGAAACTAATGTGCCAATTATGCCATTTATCCAACACAACTATTTTTGTTGTTATGTCAGCGTATCAAGTAAATTTCATGAATTTTCAAGCTAGTCTTCTGTACCTTTAAGTGACAAAGCACCCTAATTTGTCAGTTTACTTTATCTAATGCCAGACAATTTTACTTGTCAATGGGTTAAGCCACTCGCCTTGCACATGCTATATCATAGGATCGAATCCCTGAAGGAATTCCACAAAGAATTTGTGACCTGCAAACAGGTGGGTTTGGGGAGCGATTGAGTGCGTAAAGAACTAATAAAATGAAATGACAGGCAAAGTGGCAACACTGTCCCCTTGATGAGTAAAATCATCTGGCAATACACAGAGTAAAATAGGGAACCTCAGATTAATTAAAAATTATTTGCCAAAGGCGAGGTGATTATCAGAGAATAAAAACAGAGACGAAGTCGAGGTTTTTATTCACCAATAATAACCGAACCTTAGGTGAATAATTGTTTTAGTATAATTTCATAGGTGATTATTTGGAAAAAAATACACATTTCTTCATCATTGAATTAACAAAATGGCTTGGCCCACCATTTCCAAAATAGCTTAGGTGATTCCCATCACTGGTGATCAGCATGAATAATAAAATAAAATCAGACTGTTGTGTTTAACTCATTTTGAACTAAATATTCATTTCAATGGTTTAACATGCTTTCTAGATTAGTAAAATAATCTGCAACAATAGACATATGTTTATACGTACACCAAGTACCATCAATGTTGGATGCCATGAGAAAAGACCTAGAGACAATAGAAATTAAATAAAAATATTTTTTAATGTGCTGTAGCTGAACTATCAATCAGTACCTTATACAGTTATATTTTCCCTTAGCGAGTTAAATAATCTTCCATATAGACAAACGATAACAAAGTAGGTATAGGGTGCATATAGTCACCACAGGCCATTCATTTACTATTCACACCCCCCTGTTGGCGACATTACTGATTTTACACCCCTTCGGAAACGGTTTTCCAGAAGACCCCCTTGGAAAATTTTTTAGAACCCCCTCTAGAAAATTTTTAGAACCCCCTCTGATGTGGTTCTATTACGATAGACCCCCTCAGAAATTTTCGAGAATTTATTGACCACCCCCTTGGAAATTTTTGTCAGCAGCTATACCTTCCTCCTCCTCCCTCGGAAATTTAAAATAAAAAAATTGACCCATTGGAAAATTACAAAAAAATTTTGACCCCTCCAGAAATTTTACTTTTATAAGTCCCCTCAGAAATTTCAACTTGGGCCAAGTAAAAATAATAGTTGGTTTTAGGTTTCCAACCGACCTGTCAAAAATATGACCGACCATTAACATTTTATTCACATAATTTCCCAGTAGAGATCATCTTTTCATAAATAGAAGAATATGTAAATAGTCATTAGACTCATTTGTCTACAAATTATTTTGTTTGCTTAGTCATATTAATCATAGTTTTATACAAAGAACAGTTGAATAAAATATTGAAAACATACATTCTGACACGGCAGTTACAGCTGAAAAAATACGAAAACGCACCTTGATGTGTTTGTTTCTCGCGAAACACATGTAGCTCGCAGGTGATCCTGTTATTGCATACTCGAGAGACGAGATAAAATATTTTTTAAAATATAATATTTTTCCAACCTACCTATCCATATAAAACATGGCTGTGAAACTTGAAACCAACTATTATTTTTATTTGGCCTTGGCACCCCCTCAGAAATTCAGAATTTCATACCCCCTTCGGGAAATCTAGTCAACAGGGGGGTGTGGATATTATTAAATGGAATGGCCCCACGGCCATAACTTGGGTATTACAAAGGGGGATTTTCGAACATCCCATTTTTCACTAACTTGCCGATAACAATTTCTTACTAACAATTTCTCAGTAATATTTTTTGTTAATTTATTACTTTTCAAAAACTATGTAAAATTTTTGGCTGAATTATATATTTTTTGCCCGACGAGCTTCTCCTTAAAATGCCCCGCCAGGACTGCAATATTATGACATTGGGGGCTGTAGCACACCCCGCATCCCACCCTCCCCCTCATCCCCCCTCATCCCATCCCCCCCTCATCCCACCCCACCCCCTCTAACACATTAAGTACAAGTGTTATCCCCCTGGTAGGGGGGGGGTGCAGCCACCCGAACTGTTCAGCTAAACTCAATCTTCTCTGCAAAAACGGACCCAAGAGAAAATCCTGAAAAAAACCCTGGCATTGCAACTTTATGTGTCAATATAAAAGCAAAATTTGTCTATAAATATCCGAAACAATTTTCCAAGCGAACGATCTCAAACAATGGTTTATGAAATTATATAAAACATGCTTAGGCAGCTAGGGCTTAGCCTTATTAAGTTTAATAAACGTATGGCCACGTATAATAGTATCCATACTGTTCTATAAATGATCGAACGTGTCAATATAAACCACTTGTCGTATTGATTAGCAACCCATTTCTATCAATAAAATTATATCTAGCAAGCAAAAACCGGTGCATCTTACTTGATCCCGGTACAGCATGCCACATTATAAACAGAACTAAAAAAATTGCAATGAAATGAGCCATAATATCGAGTAACCTGCGAACAAATGTTTTCTCTTTTTCTACAATGCTTTGTTGTTGTTTGTCGTCACCCTCCATATCCCAAAATGCCACTGGCACAAAGCTGGTTCAAAATGTAACTGGAGTGATAGTGAGTGACAGGCACTAGAGGTGTGCAAATCGAATCCGATCCGATCGGATTTGTTCCGATTTCGGAACAAAAATATACATATCGCATCGGATTGATAAAGTTTGTTTCGTAGTCGGATCGGACTTCGATATCCGAAATAAAATGAATTAAATTATCCACGCATTATCGCAAGAATTAATTATCCATGCGTTATCGCAATAATTAATTATACATGCATTATCGCAAGAATTAATTATGATAATATGATTACCCATGCATTTATCAAGGCATTAGAAACCACAGATATATAGGAGATCTAGATTGCTAAACGCATACCTAGCGCAGGCGGGGCCTACATGATAAATATTAATCCTGGCGAATGAAAACATAAGGGCCTGATACTCAGGTTAGATAAATCCAAGATGGCGGTACAAGAGGGCAAAAAGACTTTGGTGATCGCTAGATAGTATACTTCAAAATAAGGTTTCCGTTTTTATAACGTAGAAAAAACTATCCTAACTCAAAACTAAACCCTAACCCTAATACTATCCCTCACCCTAACCTTAACCTAACCCTAACCTAAACCCTAACCTAACCCTAACTTATTTTAAAAATTGATATAAAAACGGAAACCTTATTTTGAAGTATACTATCTAGCAATTGCCAAAAGACTATAGATTCTATTACGAAAATCAAGATTTTTGCATTTTTTGCCGTCGCATTGTTTTGAAACTTATTCGGTCAAATTTTATGGTAAAGAGAAACTTACCGCGAAGATTTTGAGCATATTTATGATTGAATTGGATGAAAACTCGCAAAATTATCCAGTTCGTGTATAGCAACCTCGTTCCCAGGGCTTTTAAAAAGGGAAAAGCCCTGGGAACGAGGTTGCGTGTATAGTACTGATATAGTACTATATATGTAACTTGTACAGTTTTGCTTTAATTTTTGCTCACTATTTGCATAGAAAGCAAATAACAGA